TTCGCTAAAAGCCCACGATTGATCGTCCTGAACATTGAAAAATTGTGAAATGCCGTATTCTGTCCGAGGTCTGTATGATAAAAAGTACTGTTTCACCTCAGATGTGATGTATAAAAAGTATAAAAAGTTGGTTTACACACCCTCAGATTTGTTGGCAAGAATTTGTAAAGTAAACCTGTCGAACGCAAAAAAATGTGGCCTGATTTGTTTTCCAAGAATTTGTTTTCGAGGCCTAATCTACTGTGATCAAGAGCCATTATGGCTCTTGAATGTGATAGAAGATATTTGCTATTTTTTTGGGTGTACATATATTTAGGCTATCAACTCGATGTAAGATGTTTCACTCTAAAATAACTTATCCTTTCCCTCAAAAGTCACCTGAATGTGCCCTTAAGTTAACTGATTTGTGGATTACAAGTTTATTGTTTGATTTAAAATATAAATTTATTAATGGGAGCTTCGCTTTTAGCCCTGACTAAATCTATATATTACGGGACATAATATAGTGGCAAGAGATCGAAATGAAAAGTACAAGAAAAAAAATACAATGCACTGGGCGAAAAATAGTTCTGTAGCCAGAAGGGATTCAGATTTGTAAAACCGCGAAGAGTCAGAATACTGAATAAAGAAGATACTGAATGATGAAGAAATGATAAACATTCTACAAACTTTCTGTATATTTCCAGATCCTCTAGCGGTCACATATTACCTCTATATTTTAAGGAGTGTCCCTTTGCTTTAAGACTTCTCCCCACTAAAAAAGAGTTGAATAACTTCAAAGCCGTTTAGGCCATGACCGCTATTAAACTTCGCGACTTTTTTTACATTTTAAAGCCGTCATGTCGTGTACATATACGTCAACAATGACGTTACCATTGCAAACGAGTGTTGACTGCCATGTTTCTCAGCATTTGCATTTTTCAACAAGTTTTTTTCTTATTAAAGAAACATTATCCCGTTACTAAGCATGTAAGAAAAAACGGATGACGCTCGCTCGTTTACGAAAATTCGGGACATATTAGATAAAGCTTCATTTAGCAATATTTTATCAAATCTATTTTATAACATAGCTAGAATTTTCACGTAATCAAATTTAATAGCGCGAGCGTGCTTCATCTTCTTATTGAGCACGCTAATGATGTCAGCAAACTAATACCTCGAGAAAATTTTTTTAACACGAATGACTTTTTATACGCGTTGGAAAAAGAGGAAACCTTAGCTTAAAATGGCTACAAGCCAACCGGTTGACGAGGAAGAGCTTCCTAATTTTTCTCTGGGGCTAGAATTTTTAAATCCCAAAAAGGGAGCAAATGAAAAGGATGCAAGCTAACCTGAGATCAGGCCCGATTTGAGCGGTTCTCATACATTCTCTCCAATTGCTACCGCTAAAATTGGGCCTGATCCAAACTCATTCACGTTTGTGCTCGTTAAGGCCAGATTTTGGCCGTAACGCTGATTGGCTGTTAGAACAATGCCACAAGATCTGATTGGCTGTCGGAAAAGCCGGAAGTTGAAAGCGCTTATTCCTCGCGTGGTTGTTTTTGTGAATGATCCGTCGTCGGCGGAGAGAAGGATCGATTTTGCTTTTTTTTTTATTGTTTTATGGTCTTATGGTAGGAAATTATGCCTTAATATGTGCCATGGAAATTCAGGATTTCCTTTATTTACGGAAAGTGAGTGTATCGCGGAGTTAAATCCCTCTGTAAGTTGTTGACCGCTAACAAGGTGCCTTTTGATTAAGAGATAGCAGCTTTTAAAAGGTTTCTTTTTTCTTTAAGGGTTTTGCAATATGAGTTAAAACGTTCGATTAATTGAAATTTTTGCTTTTAATTAAAGCTTGGTGCAAAGAAAAAAAGATTCAAACGCCAATTGAGCAAATGACGGTAGGACATTTAGATGTAAACTTTCGCAGATTCTACGCCGAGGCGAGAAATAAAGCGGGAGAGCCGTACAGTAAATCTACTCTTCTTGGATTCAGACATTCCTTTGAGATGTACCTAAACAGACCTCCTTTTAACCAAGGTTTAAACCTGAGCTCTGATCCACGTTTCAAAAGATCAAATGAGATGCTGAATGCGCAGATTGTCCATTTAAAGCGCTAAGGAAAGGAGAATGTGAAGCACAAGCCAGCGATTGAAGATGAAGATTTAAAGAAGCTTAAAACTTCTCAAGCCATTGCACCTACCAGCCCTCTTACCTTGCTTCAAAAAGTGTGGTTTCATGTTGTCCTGTTCTTTTGTCGGAGAGGAAGAGAAGGCCAGAGGGAACTCAAAAGGTCAAGTTTCAAATTTGAAGCTGATGCCTCTGGAAGAAAGTTCGTCACAATAGCGCACGATGAAGCAACCAAAAATCATCCTGGAGGACTTAGTGACGTCTCGAGCCATGAAAATTTGGCAAGGATGTACGAAACCCCTGAAGAAAACGACGGTTACAAAGCCATGAAGATTAACCTGGCGAAGTTAAACCCTAAATGCGATGCATTTTTTCAATATCCGAAGAAGCACTGGAAATACGATGACGAAGTTTGGTACGATGAAAGACCAATCGGTGTCAACAAACTCGACGGCATGATGAAGGACATCAGCAGGGCTGCCGAACTGTCGAAATTCTACACAAACCACAGCGTCAGGGCCACCGCAATCACCTTGTGGTCAAATATGGGGCGCCAAATGTATTTTTATTATTTAGAGTGGTTATTTGTAAATAACCAAAAAAGGGCGGTTATTTACAAATAACCACATTACAGTTTTACTATTTCTAAATAACCAAAATATAAAATTGGTTATTTACAAATAACCAAAACTGAAATTTGTTTATTTAGCAAATAACCAAAAATTAAAAAGTGGTTATTTCTAAATAACCAAATGCGAGATTGGTTATTTATTAAATAACACAAAATGCGAAATTGGTTATTTATTAAATAACCAAAATGCAGGCAGAATGGAAAATTGGTTATTTATAAACAAACTGGACAACTGGTAATTTAGTAAATAAACAAAAATGGACGATTAAAAATCCAAACTGTGCAAAAATGGTTATTTAATACAGAAATGGTTATTTACCTAATTTGGTCTTAGCAAGTGGCCACGTGGCCCATTTTCCCGATCAGCTCCCATAACGACTGGCAGACTTCTATTTCCAACGTGGCTTCTTCCAAAAGCATAGCGCGGTTAAATGCAGAAATGGCTTCGAGCTGCTTTGAAGTTAGCTACTGATCGATCCAAATCTGACACATCCCACTACAGACTGTTCACAGTCCCTATTTTTCCGTAAGATCGTCGAGATCGAGCACTTTGCGTTACGGCTGCCATCTTGGATGAGTGTCAAAACTACTTAGGGGGCGGGGGGCGGTTTGGGAGGAAGCGAGAAAAATAGTCCCTGAGTAGTTTTGACGATCATCCAAGATGGCTCACCCGTAACGCGAAGCCTATTGCGACAGGATTCTCTAATCATCATGATATTGTGGAATTCTGTAGGTACTTTTGAATATTGGTCAAGCCAATCTTTGTCCAAAGAGATCTCAGGAGCAGGAAAGCAGCATATTCCTGCGTATTAATTTACTGAAAATGTCCCGAGGAAAACGCTGGAACAGGATTTCCGAGACTCTAAATTTAAAAATTTTCTGGGGGAGCATGCCCCCAGATCCCACTAGGTTGGGTCGCCTTCGGCGCTACAACTTTCCTCCCCACTTGCGTGCGAAAGGTTTATTAGAAGATACATCATTATGGGAGCTCTAAAGTGGAACGGATTATGATAGAAATTATGATAACTAGAAAGAACAGACGGGAGCCAACCTTAATTCCCCAGTCAGCGAGTGATGTGACCAATAAAATTGTAAAACAAAATGAGAGACACTGTGTTTGGTATTTCATTCAGTTTTTAGCAAGTACAGAATTGACTCCAGGGATCAAATATTTTCATGGGATCAGGGATCAGGATTTGCAATAATTTTGGATCAGGTATCNGAGAGACACTGTGTTTGGTATTTCATTCAGTTTTTAGCAAGTACAGAATTGACTCCAGGGATCAAATATTTTCATGGGATCAGGGATCAGGATTTGCAATAATTTTGGATCAGGTATCAAAATTTTATGGCCAAAAGGTGAGATCAGTCGGGAAAATATATACCTCGTTAAGACCCTGTTGTATAACAAAACAATGTAAAATACGATACGTTTCACGGAAATACAAAATTATTTTTGAACATGTGTGATGTCTGAAGATTAAAGGACAAGGGAAAAAATTAGTCAGAAATAAATAATGTGACGGTACGACAATTCGTTGGATAATCTCTGGACTATCATGAAAACCAACTGAAGTAGATGACGGTAAATGAAGACTAATGGTGGTAGATGTAGGCGTATGAAGGTAAAAGAAGGCTGATCATTGTAGATGACCGTAGATAAAGGCTAATGGGGGTAGATGAAGGTGAGTGAAGGCTAATGGTGGAAGATGACGGTAGATGAAGGTGAAAGAAGGCAAAGGTAAATGAAGGCCTATGTAGGAAGATGAAAATTAATGACGAAGGATGAGTGTGAATGAAGGTAAATGAATTAGAATGAAGGTGAATTAAAATAAATGAAGGTGAATAAAGATTAATGAAAACGAATGAAGGTGTACGGAGGAAAATGAAAGTAAATGAAGGAAAATGAGGGTGAAAGAAGGTAAATGAAAGAGAAAAGAGGAAAGTGAAGGAAGTGGAAGAAGCCATGTTGGAAATAGAAGTCTGCAAGTCGTTATGGGAAATGAGCGGGAAAATGGGCCACGTGGCCACTTGCTAAGACCAAATTAGGTAAATAACCATTTTTGCACATTTTTGGATTTTTAGTCGTCCATGTTTGTTTATTTACTAACTAACCAATTGTCCAGTTTGTTTATAAATAACCAATCTCGCATTTTGGTTATTTAATAAATAACCAATCTCGCAGTTTGGTTATTTAATAAATAATCAATCTCGCATTTGGTTATTTAGAAATAACCACTTTTTAATTTTTGGTTATTTGCTAAATAACCAAATTTCAGTTTTGGGTATTTGTAAATAACCAATTTTATATTTTGGTTATTTAGAAATAACAAAACTGTAATGTGGTTATTTGTAAATAACCACCCTTTTTCTAGTTATATACAAATAACCATTCTAAATAATAAAAATACATTTGGCGCCCCATAGGTCAAACGCCGGCGTCCAAAATCGCCATATTATGGCGATATCCGGTCACCGCAGTGAGCAGAGTTTGGCGCAGTACAACACACGGCCTTCGACATCACAACTTCAGCAGTGCAGCGATGTCCTTTCTAGAAGTCTGAACGCCGAAAATTCCTTTTTTTCTGGCAATCCGATAAACGACCGCACCTAAATTCAAGAACACAGCGCGATGACAACGGGAACGTCAAGCAGCTTTCCTGGATCGCTCTTCAACAACTGCACGGTACAACAAGCACATGTGCACGGCACTTTGGACTCCGATTTCAGCCGGGGACTTTGACTTGAGTTTTCTATTTTTCCCTTGATTTAAGTTGTAAAAGTTCTACACATTTTTGACATGAAAGTGCTTTTAAAATGCATTCCTTGCGTGGGTAATAAACAAGAAAATAATTTAGAATTATGCCTTCCTGGAACTGTTCGTAAGTCAACTGTCATTCAAACGCGAGGTTGTGGCCTGTTGTAAATAAGCCAATCAGATAGCAGGTTTGTTTTTCTTTCACATATGAGAATTTTGCATTTGGTCAAAATAAAAGTCCATTTTCATGCATGAGTTCACCCTTCAGTTTTTGACCGACCTGAGACGAGATTTAATTGAAATATATGAAATGAATCGTTGACGGGTATCGTAGTGTATAAACGACGCATCGAGGAGCAGCAAAGACAATTTCGCTTCTTTCAAAATGAGGTGCCGCGTTGATAATGTTATAAAACAATTAGTTCATTCTGCAGCTGTGCGCATGTCGAGATATTGAGCACTTGGGAAGTTTGGAGAGCAC